TCCCCTGGAACTGGAATTACAGACAGTTGTGAGCTGCCATGTGGGTGCTGGGAATTGAACCCAGGTCCTCTGGAAGAGCAGCCAGTGCTCTTAACTGCTGGGCCATCTCTCCAGCCCCCAATAAAAGTAAATTTAAAAAAGAACTTGAGCCAGGCAGTGGTGGCGCATGCCTTTAATCCCAGCACTCAGGAGGCAGAGCCAGAAGAATCTCTGTGAGTTTGAGGCTAGCCTGGTCTACAGAGTGAGATCCAGGGCAGGCACCAAAACTACACAGAGAAACCCTGTCTTGGGAAAAAAGAACTTGAACCAATTAAAGTGGATTGAAAAATTAAAAGATAACTTGATAATAAAGTATCTAATTTGCCAACCTCGCTCTTCCACTTCCTCTCAGTGGTGCAGGAACATGTTGCCAACCTTGAGTAAATTTAAAACTTTCTAAAAATGTCCTGAAATTGGATCTCTGGAGAAAATGTCTGGCTCTCTGAACTGTGGCACACAAACAATCGAATGCATATATCCACATGTTTCCCTGAAGACTTCCTTATCAAGCAGCCAAAGTATACAGCTCAAAGTCTAAGCGCATGATTCTTCACAAAATAACAAAACCCACCAAAACTTGCATATCAAGTACTTACTTTTGCCATTTTCTACCGTCTAGACATATTGACGGCTTTGTTTCTTTTAATTTTTTGGTATTTTAAAACAGGGTCTCCCTAGATATACCAGGCTGTTCTAGAACTCAGAGTGATTCTCCTGCCTCAGCCTCAGTCTGAGGGGATTAGAGACATGGACCACTATGTTGCTATCTGTGGGAGGCCAGCTCCCACCTTTTAAAGGGTTCCTATGAGGAGGAGAGAGGAATAAAAAACTTTTAGATAGAAAGATAGCAGAGAGGAGACAGCCAGAAACACAGGATAGCTTTGGGAGGGCCTGGATCAAAATCCACTGGCCCCTTCTGGCTCTTCAAAAGGGCTTCTTATAACAATGCCAAGGGGTGGGGCAAAAGACCTCCTCCTTGCTAGATCAAAGCACACCACACAGCCAAGTGTAGACCCTTCCAAACACCTGGTAATCACACCTGTGGTTCAATGATCCCCTTATGCAGCCTTGCTGGGTAAAGAAAGCTCAGATTCTTGGACCCTGAGGATGTTCTCATTAGGAAATCTCTGTGGGTCTTTACAGCTATATTGCAATTAAAAGAATTTTTTTGTTTTTCTAGACAGGGTCTCATTGTGTAGCCCTGGCTGACCTGAAACTGGCTATGTAGGCCAGGCTGACTTCAAACCCATAGAAACCTACCTGCCTCTGTCTCCTGAGGGCAGGGACTAAAATTGTGCACCACCATGTCTGGCCTATGCTGCATTTGATCAGTGCTGATCTCAGGAACTATGACCTTTGTCCTGCAGCAACTGTATATAACCCTCCTCCCTATGGGCTCAAGCATGGTAAGTACTGAAGTGTCAGGTTTTATTTTTGTTTTTGCTTTTTTAAATTCTCATAGCATGAAGAAAAAAGCAAACAAAACACCTCACATCTCACACCCCCTCAAACTCAAAGGGATGTTTAGGCAGCAGGGGAGGCCTGGGCCCTACATGGATTAAAGCACAGACTAGCATCAAATGCAAGCTGAGTGGTTCCCTCACAGAGGAACAAGAGGTGCAAACAGGTCCTGCCCTGGCAGGGACCCCTAGGCAGGCTGGGAGCACTCTGGCTGATGAAGGCACACAGGCCCTAGGTAAAGGAATCAGACAGGTGTCTATGTTTGCTGTGTGGGTCTAGTGTGGCCAGATAGTCTCAATTTTTTCTTTTCTTTTCTTTCTTTTTCCTTTTCTTTCTTTTCTTTCTTTTGGAGACAGGGGTTTCTCTGTGTCGTCCTGGCTATCCTGGATCTCACTCTGTAGCCCAGGCTGGCCTCGAACTCACAGAGATCCACCTGGCTCTGCCTCCCAAGTGCTGGGATTAAGGGCATGCACCACTGCTGCCCGTCTTAGTCTCAGTTTTTCAGGAAAATATAGAAACCTAGATTTTACTGTGAATCTCAAATTTTTTTAAAGTTCATTAGTTCCAAAAATGAGCCCAATATAACATGCCTATGGCTTGAAATAGTGCAGAGGGCTTGACTGTGTGCTTTCGGAGCAGCAAGAGGTTCTAGGCCTAAGTCTACCAAATTAAGTGTTACAGATGTGTTCTCTTCCTTTTCCTCTGCTTCCTGTTTTGTTGTTGTTTGTTTGTTTGTTTGTTTGTTTGTTTGTTTGTTTGAGACAAGGTCTCATATAGGCCAGGCTAGACTCCATTCATTACCTGTCCAAGGATGACTTTAAACTCCTGGTCATCCTCCCTTCAGTTCCTAAGTGCTGGGATTACAGGCATGCTCCACCACAGTTTTTATCAATTGCTTCCCAGGGACATGACCTGATTTCCAATTACTTGACAGTGGTAATCAATCAGTCAGCTGGTGAAGCTACAACATAGTAAGAGTGAATGCTGATCCCCCTGGGTTCAAAGCCAATCTCCAATACCTACCGTCAGCACAAACTAGCAAGGTCACTTAGATTGAGCACTCTATCTTCAATTTTTTTTTTTGAGGGGTGATGCAGTTCAAGGCCGAGTTTCTCTGTGTAGCTTTGGAGCCCGTCCTGGAACTCACACTGTAGCCCAGGCTGGCCTCAAACTCACAGAGATCCGCCTGCCTCTCCCTTCCGAGTGCTGGGATTATAGGCATGAGCAAATACAGCTCAGCTATCTTCAATTTTTATGACCCATAAAACTCATATAATAAGACAGTTCCTGGCTAGTGAGATGGCTCTGTGGATAAAAGCATCTGCTGTGCAAGCCTGACAAACTGAGTTCGAATCCCAGAACCCATATTAAAAACAACAAAATAAAGCTGGAAACAGCAGCATGCATCTGTAATCCCAGCACTCCTGAAGAGAGAAGAGAAGCAGAAACCACAAGGAGCCTGCTTCAGTAAGGTGTAAAGCAAGACTCTACTCCCAAGAGCTGTCTTCTGACAGCCATACAATGTGCCAGGGTACACACCCACACCTCACACATACACTAATGAGGAGATGTTAAAAACTTACTGTGGCTGCATCCCTGCTGAGCTACTCCCGGCTCACAATCCCTCCCAGAAGGCCATTTGGGGACTAAGTGACAAATGTGAAGAACCCATTGCCGGGGAAGCACTGGCTGTGATTGGGCGCCTCTTTTCTCACCACTTAGTCACAATGAATGAGCAACTCTTGCTTGAACAGGATGTTTTTTAGAGACAGGGTTTCTCTGTGTAGCCCTGGTTGTCTTGGAACTCGCTGTAGACCAGGCTGGCCTAGAACTCAGAGATCTGCCTGCCTCTGCCCCCTGAGTACTGGGATTAAAGGTGTGGGCCGCCTCCACCACCACCCAGCTTTGAAAAGGATTTCTAAACCTGCCAAAAACCTCTTTTCTCTTTATTTAGTTCATAGCCTTCTCTCCCCACCCTGAACTATTACAATTATCTGACGTCATATCTCTTGTTTAGGTGCCCCCTCACCTAGGCCTAGGTGATTCCATCTCTTGGCTTAGTCATTTACATAAGTGAAATACAGATCTGATGTCACTCTCCCTATAACCTACAGAACAAAGTCTGAATTCTTTCATCAAGGCGCTTCCCATGCTCACATCTGATTAGCCTGGACTTCCTGCTTTATTCTTCCTACTTTAGCCACTCAGTTTCCCATCATGGCCCTCAGGGCTCTTTCTGTTAAAATTTGTCCTCCATGTTCACTTGTTTGGTCCCTGTTCCTTCTAACTCTTCTTCTCTTTCTTTATTACTTTTTTTTTCAGTCTGATTATATAGCCCTGGATGGCTTAGAATTCTCCAAGTAGACCAGGTTGATCTTGAACTCACAGAGATCCGCCTGCCTCTGCCTCCTGAGTGCTGGGATTAAAGGTGTGCGCCACTGCACCTGGCCCTTCTTACCTTTGTAAATCCAGCCCCAATCTCTACTATGGAGCATTTCCTGATTCATTACTAACTTGCTTCTGCAGTTGGGCCTGCCCAGCCTCTTTAAACCCATCTCATCATTCCTTGGAATGTACTTGCTGATATATCTGTCCCAGTATGAGAAAAGACACAAAGAACAAGGACCTGGTCTTGTTTTCCCCTCCATTTCCAGCCTGGATATAATAAGTGTTCAGTGCTTGCTGAATGAATTAGGCCATTGAAACAAAAGCCAAAATAATAATAATAATAATAATAATAATGATGATGATGATGATGGTGGTGGTATTACTTTCAAAATCCTGTTATAAGAAAAACAGATCTAGGTGGGCATAGTGGTGCACACCTTTAATCCCAGCACTCAAGTGGCAGAGACAAGTGGATCTCTCTGAGTTCAAGGCCAGCCTGGTTTACATAGTGAGCTCCAGAATGGTCAGAGCTACATAATGAGATCTTGTCTTGAAAACAAACAAACAAACAAACTAACTAAAAGGAAAAGAAAAGGAACACAGACTACTGGATATATACAAAGACAAAAAAAAAGGAGTAACAGAAACACATAAAATCCACTCAGAAGCCCTTAACTCCCAGAAATGTGTGCATTTTGGTTAGCCATAGCAGAAAAGGTTAGTCAACACACAAAACCCAGACAGGTGAGGTTTTGTGGGCCTGTTACCTCAGCCACTTGGGAATCTGAGGGAATCCTAAGTTCAGTGCCAACCTAGAGAACATAGCAAGAACTTTCAAATTAAAATGGGGGCTGATACAGCAATTCGCACCTTTAATTCTAGCATGTTGAAGGCAGAAGCAGGTCAAGGCCAGGCTAGTCTACACAGCAGTTCTAGGCCAGCCTGAGCTACAGAGTAAGAACAAATAAACAAACAAACCTTCTAGCTATCTAGAAAGTTTGACACATCTGCACTTACAAGGCAGCTGGCGTTTGTCATAGTAACTTGATCTATCTTCACTGGTGTCTGTGGTCTTGGGGGAATGCATCTGATGTCTCGGGTTAAGAACTTACCCAGCCAAATAACAGAAAGCTGATAATTTGGTCAGAATCTGTATATCCTGATGTGTTGTTCATTTCCCATACAAGGGCAAATGCTGTCTTGATCTTGTGCCCAAGAAAGTGTCTTTTAAAGAGATGACAATACCTCAGCTCACAGAGAGTCACCAGAGGAACCTTCAAATGATGGTCTCAGGTAGACATAGGTCTAGGGAAGAAAATAAACATTACTTTTTGCATTTATGGTTTTTTTTTTAAGATTTTTTATGTATATGAGTGTTTCATCTGCATGTGTATCTGTACACCACGTTTGTGCAGTGCCCAAGGGTGTCAGAAGAGGGCATCAGAATTGGAATTTCAGATGGTTGTGAGCCACCATGTGGGTGCGGAACTTGAACCCTAGTCCCCTGGAAGAGCAATCAGTGCTCTTAAAGGTTGAGCCATATTTGCAGCCCCTGAATTTATATCCTTACACACATGCCACTGAAGTGCTTTTTCTCAAGTTTCCCTGAGTAAATGGAAGGGCTGTGTATTAGCTTCTCCCCCTACCCCAGGCAGAGTTTGCTTTGGTGGACTAGGAAACCAGGTCAGCTAGTCCAGAAACAATGGAGACCAATGTACAGCCGAGTAGGGTGGCTCTGAAGTCAGGTTGTCTGAGTTACAGCCTGGTTTTGGCAGTTTTGAGTTGGTAGACTTGGTAGAGGAACAGTTCCTGTTGCAAAGAACTGAGCAAAGGGTTAAAGGATAGAGAACATGCATAGTGCTTGGCCTGTACCTATTCATCATAACTGCTCATAGCAAGAAGCCAGAAAATGTTATCAGTATCATTCACTTGCAACGAGATCTTATGACCAAAGAAAGGCAGCCATGGCCATGCCCATTTGTAATCCCCACATTTAGGAGACTGAGACAGGATCAAGAGGCTGAGGTCAGCCGGGCAGTGCTGGCACCTGACTTTAATCCCAGTACTCAAGAGGCAGAGGCAGGTGGATCTCTATGAGTTCGAGGCCAGCCTGGTCTACAGAATGAGTTCCAGGACAGTCTCCAACATTACACAGAGAAACCCTGTCTCAAAAAACCTTAAAATGGGGGGGGGGGGGGCTTGAGGAAACTTGGGGCTACATAACAAGTTCAAGACCAGCTTAGGGCATATAGCAAGACCCTGCCTTAAAAAAAAAAAAAAAAATGGAGTGCTGGAGAGATGACTCAGTGGTTAAGAGTGCTTGTTGATTTTGCAGAGGACCTGGCTCACACAACCTTCTGTAACTCTAACTCTAGAGCTCTAATTGCAAAGGGTCAACACTCTCTTCTGGCTTCTGTGGGCACAGCACCCATGTGCACACAAGCAAAACACTCACACATGTAAAAATAAAACTCTTTTAAAAGTTTTAAATGAGGGGCTGGAGAGATGGCTCAGTGGTTAAGAGCACTGACTGCTCTTCCAGAGGTCCTGAGTTCAATTCCCAGCAACCACATGGTGGTTCCCAGCCATACATGAGATCAGGTGCCCTCTTCTGGCCTGCAGGCAGGCAGATATAGACAGAACACTGTATACATAGTAAATAAATCTTTTTTTTTTTTTTTTTTT